TTTTTTTCATTATATTTATAATTACATTGTTGCTGTAATGCTTATAATAAAGATTTTGCACTTAATGAAAAGCCATACATTTCTGAACATGGAATGAGTAGTTGTTACATTCTATCCTACATTTTTCTTTCAACATGTGACCTTCCTGTCAGTGAAACAGAAATAAGCATATTTTTTATTTATATTGAATCAAATATATAAATACATCACAGTTAAGTTGAATTAGAGTTGTAGCATATTTACAGAATAAGTAATTATGTTTGTGTGACTGTGGATGTATACTTATTTTGAGCAGAAAAGAAGAAATATTAGACAAAATGGGTAATTTCAAAAGTGTCGAGGATTTACTAGCAAATTAGAAACTTCAAAGATTCTGAAAGGAGATATTTTGTTTGCTTTATTTGAATTAATTGTTTAAAACCCTAAAGCTTCTGAATGGGAACCTGCCTATGCCAATCCCCTGTTCTTACATGCTTATTACTCATGCTAGTCCTGCTATGTTATTTTATTATTTCAAAGTTCATTAATTATTGTTTATACGACCAGATCTGAAATTGCAACAAGGATTGTTATAAAACTTAATGGTACTCATAAAATTACCTGAAGGTATGAATAATTCCACCGTGTAGTAATTTAATTTTACTTAGTACATCCTATATTTTCATTCTAATTACAGAATCACATTGAAAGCACTTTTTGGTTACTTTTTCTTTTACTTTTGGTCATAGGAGTATTTGATTTATTGACTTTATCAGGTATCTTTGTTCAGGTAAACACTAGAAGGATTTATAAATTATGGAGTTGATTTTATATTTAAATAGGAGAAATAAGTACAGGACAGTGTTAGATATGTAATAGATGCTTCATAATTAGCAGTCAATACTTCGCTGGGAGTGAGCTTGTGGCTCCAGAGAAGAGATTAAAAATGTCCAGGGTAAAAAAAGTCATTGATTTTGCATGTGGAGCGAAGGGACAAACAGAACAACCAACTCTTGGAATTTATAAGTGGAAATTCTGCTTCTTTCATTTCATAATTATCTCCAGTTTTCCCCATTTTTATCTTCATTCCCTTCTACAACTGTATCTAAGCCATTCTTATTTCTGACTGTGCTTGGGCTACGATATTCTCACTGTTGTACTCAACGCCAGCCAGTTCACAAAGTATTTAAAAAATTTTGATGAGAAGTGTAGAGTATTTTTAATTTGGAGGAAAAAACATTTTAACTAGAAAGATTGAGACCATTTACAGGCTATACATATAGCATTCTGATTATTTAATTAAGATTAGAGAAATTCATTGTCCTAAGTTTAATCTAAGAGCCTTAGTCCTATGAAAGATAAACAATTCTGAAGGCCAGAGGATTAAATGAAGAACTCAGCATTGTTTGCTTTGTAAAAGCAAACTGTTACTAGATCCTAACATATAATGCCATAAATATGAAAATAATTACAA